CTCTCTTCCTGCTCTTGCCGACCCGGAGTCGGACTCTCTTCGTGCTGCCAGTCCTACTGTCACGCGTCTCCTTGCTACTGCTGTCACTGACCCTTCCTTCGAGTCGTCTGCTGCGTCTGCACTTGTCACTGAGCTTGTCGACTTTGCTGCGCGCTGTCGTCTAGACTACGCTGCTCGTCTTGTCACTGAGTCTGAGTCCGCCTGTCCTCCGTCCGTCGGGGGTGAGTGTGCCCTTGGCACGGACGTCTTTGAGGACAGGCAGGAGGAGTTCCAGTGTCTCGCCGCCGCTTCACCTCGTCTCGCGTCTGTACTGCTAGCCCCTGAGGGAGACCCGGATGCACCAGACATCCCGACTCCGCGCTCTTACGCGGAAGCGATAGAGGGTCCCTACTCCTCTCAGTGGCAGGCAGCTATGGATGCAGAGATGGCTTCCTGGAAGTCCACAGGCACCTACGTTGACGCTGTTCCCCCTCCTGGGGCGAACATCGTCAGTGGCATGTGGATTTTCAGGGTGAAGCGGCCGCCGGGCTCTCCGCCTGTCTTCAAGGCGCGTTACGTGGCTCGTGGCTTCAGTCAGCGGCAGGGGGTTGACTACTTTCAGACCTTCTCCCCCACCCCGAAGATGACCACTCTTCGGGTTCTGCTGCACGTTGCTGCTCACCGTGACTACGAGCTGCACTCTCTCGACTTCAGCACAGCTTTCTTGCAGGGCAGCCTGCACGAGGAGATCTGGCTGCGTCGCCCACCTGGCTTCACTGGGTCTTTCCCTCCTGGTACCCGGTGGAGTCTCCGGCGTCCAGTCTACGGTCTCCGCCAGGCGCCACGTGAGTGGCACGACACACTGAGGACTACGCTCGCGGCACTTGGGTTTGCTCCTTCTACTGCCGACCCGTCGCTGTTTCTGCGCACCGACACCTCTCTGCCGCCGTTCTACATCCTCGTGTACGTCGACGACTTGGTCTTTGCCACAGCTGACAGTGCTGGACTCGCCTACGTGAAGTCCGAGCTGCAGAAGAGACACACGTGCACTGACCTGGGTGAACTGCGCAGCTACCTTGGCTTGCAGATCACCCGGGACAGAGCACGCCGCACCATTACCCTGACTCAGTCACACATGGTGCAGCAGGTCCTTCAGCGCTTCGGCTTCACGTACTCCTCGCCTCAGGCCACTCCTCTGCCTACTCGCCACTCGCTCTCAGCTCTGCCTTCGTATGAGTCCGTAGAGTCGAGTGGCCCGTTTGCAGAGCTTGTTGGCTGCCTCATGTACCTGATGACCTGCACAAGACCTGACCTCGCATACCCTCTTAGCATTCTGGCACGCTTTGTTGCTCCTGGGAGACACCGACCAGAGCACATGGCTGCAGCGAAGAGGGTGTTGCGCTACTTGTGCAGTACGTCGGGCATGGGGCTAGTGCTTGGAGGGCGCAGTCCTGTGGTCCTCACTGGGCACGCAGACGCTTCTTGGGCTGACGACCAGGCTACGCAGCGGTCGTCACAGGGTTACACCTTCAGCCTTGGTTCCGGCTCTGTCTCGTGGCGGGCTACCCGCTCGTCTTCTGTTCTCGGCTCCAGTTGTGAGGCTGAGATCTACGCTGGGGCTATGGCTGCACAGGAGTTACGCTGGCTCACCTACCTGCTGACCGACCTTGGAGAGCCGCCTCGTTCTCCTCGAGTCCTGTACGTAGACAACAAGCACATTGCTCTCCGCTACTTTCTTGCTCGTGAGCTACAGCAGCGTGGACAGTTGCGACTTGCGTACGTGGCCTCTGAGGCCAACACTGCTGATGTCTTCACCAAGGCACTTGCGCCTTGTGATCATCAGCGTTGCTGCACGCAGTTGGGTCTTGTGCCTGTCTTGCCTCACTTGCTCTCCTCTTGACTTTGCTTGTACCTTCGCATATATATACCCTTGCTCTTGCTTACTTGACTCTTGTATACCTCTATATATGATCTTGCATGTGAACTGGCCTTCTGGCCTTTGAACTTGTGCTCGGAATGCGTGGTGACTTTGTGATCCACCCTGAGCTTTGCTTTGCTTTGCTTGACTGGTCTTGTGACCCCTTGTTCTCCCCCACTTTGCCTATGGGGGTGTGTCAGAACATATAGCTTACTTATTTGTGTAGGCTATAGTGGGGTATCCCATAAGGGGTACAACCCAATTAGGGTTTCCTATTTGTACTCACTTCGTTCATACTCATTTCATTCTCGTTCAATTCTTCTCAAAGTACTAACCCTAAAGTGTTGTACCCCTTGTAGGCTAACCCACTTTAGCCTAGAAAGAATACAAACATACAGTTTGACAATGACGTCTCCTCCTCAGGGACTTCCAGACATCCAGGGCTTCCGCCAGCCGATGTCGGACCTTAGAAGAAAAATCTGCATCAGCTCGCCCAGGCACGCGCTGCAAAGGGCGCCTCGCACCCAAGACTTGACGACGTTATGCCTGGAAAAGCCCCGCTCGCACTCCACGGTTGACAGCGGGAGCACCGCGATCGCCTGCCACAGAAGGATGAGGTTGGGCCATCTCCTGCCAGGTGTATCAAGGCAAATCCGTTAGAATGTTATGGAAACGCTTATAAAGAGGGGGATATCACATGCTGTTATGTTACCTCTTCGAGTCAGCGCTCTCGAGGAAGTTGGTAAGGCCCTGCGCGAAGCTTGTTGTGAAATAGCTTCCTGCATCCGTGCAGCCACTCAAGACACTTCTTCTCCCGTTGGGCCTTGATCTTCGGCCACTTCCCCGCCCAGTACAGCTTTGTAGGCCCCAGCTTCTGTAGGTCGTCAAGCCACTCATTGAGGTTGTCAATGCAACCTGCGCCACAGCTTGACGTAGTCGACGTAGGTGCTATCGTACTTGTGCCCAGGGAGCTGCCTCTTGTGCATGGTGTACATGTGGTTGATTGGGCGTCCTTCCCCGTCCACACTGCGAACCCGCACCTTCTTGCCTCTGCCTTGCCCGTGCACCTGGAGAAAGTTGACCAGCCAGGACTTCCTCTTGCCACCGAACTGCTCTGTCAAATCTGCCGTTGTGCCCTCCACGTCCTTGTAAATCCCCATCACATCTAGCTGGCACAAAATCACAAACAGAACACAGAACAAAACTGCAGTAAGTTGAAGCCGCATCACAGAATGATAGGCCAAACGTGGCAGGTGTCTACTTACATCGCGCTTCTGGAAACATCGGTTGAGCTCTTTCATGTATGCAAGGATGTCGGCCAGGAAAAACAGGCAAAGCTGGAACTTCAAGGACGTGACGATCTCGTATGCCTTGTGGTTGTTTTTTCTAGAGCACAACGATGCACGCCCCGAGGACCTTGCAGAGTTGACGCACCGCATCGCCTCTTGACAGCCACTGTATAGTGTGGATACCATGCACTTCGAGGTTGGTGTTGTAGATGACACGCTGCATGTACTTGAACAGCTGAATCCAGACGCACGACTTCCCGAGCTCAGCCGCCACTGTACGCACCACCTTGTCCACCATATCCAGTTCCAGGTTTGCCGTTGCATCGTCCTTCACAGCGAGTGCTTCCCTGTAGAAGGCATGTGACATATGGGAATGGCAAACCACTAAATAAAAAGAGTGCCATTAGCAATCACTACAGTAAACATCCGTATGCATCGAACAACTTATGATAAAAACAACTCACCTATGGGCGATGGAGTGGCAAGAAAACAGGTGGAGGACGTGCTCCCAAATCCGCGCCACCAAACCGTTGTCCTTCCCCAACATCATCAACGCCCCGTCCATGCTGACTCCCACAATCTTGGACACATCGACAGCTGAAGTGCGGAGATGGTTCAACAGCACCTCGAACAAGGACCCTGCATCACACTTCTCAACAGTCAGCAGTGAGAAGAACTCAGTGACGATCCGACGGTTCTTCATAAAAGTAAGGTAGGCAATCAGATGTTTCCCTCGCGTTTGGTCGGTGCTCTTGTCACAGCTGAGGCCCAAAAATGGCGAAGCTTGGATGTGCTCCATTAGCACCCTCGTCAGGTAGGTGCTGATGCTGTAAACCATCTGCTGAAAGCCATACCTGCACAATATGTAGTACACGTAAATTTTTTTACCGAGAAAGTATTAAGAAGATTACGGCTGCATTAACACAGCCATGTTTCCCCTTACCAAGTCAGGTACACCCAATAAGACTACCGGGGTATGTCGGGCATATCCTGCTCCACCAGATGCCGCATCAGTTTAAAAAACAAGCTGATCGGTGCGTTGCACTGGCACAAAAACTGCAACGACCGCGTGAGTCGAATCGCACGCCTCCTCTCGACGTCAGAGTTGATGAAGTTTGAAATCACCTGCTATCTGTTGGCGATGACCCTCATAATATACGGTTGCCGCTGTACTGCCGCATTGTGAGCGTGCGTGTGCTCGTGAGCCCGGAACGACTGCGTCTGCAAATCATGGCCACTGTCATCACCTGGCCTGGAATAGCGGCTATTATCCTTCCCATACGACATGCACAAGCTGCATTAAACATACGGGAATCCAGCCTTAGTTTTGCAAAAAATGAGCCACGAAAATATGCCCGACCATTTTGTCTCGTAATTAATACTTGCCTCCAACATGTGGTGTTCCTCGCCAATGAGGGACACCTGTTGTGCATAACGAGGTGCGCGTGGTAGAAAACATCATGATTCGGGCTGCGCTGTCAATTTTGACAGCTGTGCTGTACAACACATTGTGGTATTCGTCGTCGGTATTACTGCGTTAGTACTACGCGTGACAGTGCTCTTTCACATGGGGGCAAGCATCATCATGATTATGCACATGTGGAGGTACTCATACGAAGTTTTCTGGAATTTTCGCTCCGATATTGTCTCATTCAGGGTCCACAGGATTCGTACTCTGTAATGACAGGGTCCGCAAATGTATATAACAATTCAGGGTCTGCTAAAGTGTGCAACAGTTGAATCCCTCATTTGTCCTTGGTATACCCAAACCCAACCACCCCCCCCCTCCCTTCCCCCTCTCCAGGTGTTGGTATATGTGCGCAACTGTTTTTCTTAGCCATCTAAGAAGCCTTTTCCCCCTCCTTCCCTTCTCTCTCCCTCCAGGTGCTGGTCTACGAGTATGTGCGTAACGTCCCACTCAGCGACCATCTATAAGCCAAGTTCAACGGGCACCTGCTGCATGCATTCACCCCCCCACAACCCCCCCCCCCCCACCCCACGCCCCTTTCCCCCCCTCTCCCTCTCCAGGTGTTGGTGTACGAGTATGTGCGCAACGGCCCTCTCAGCGACCATCTCTACGCCAAGTTCCAAGGGCACTTGCTGACCTTCGAGGAGCGACTAGATGCGGCACTGGGGCTGGCGGAGGGGCTCAGATACCTGCACTGCCATGCGGAGAAGCCCGTAGTGAATTGAGATATCAAGCCCTGCAACGTGCTGCTCACAGAGGACTACCAGGTGGGTGGAATGCGGTAACATGGTATCACATTTGCCAGTGAGAAGGGCTCAAGTACCTGCACTCCACTGCCACACGGAGAAGTCTACCGCGCATCGCGACATCAAGCCCTGCAACGTGCTGCTTATAGAGGAGTATCAGGTAAGTGGAAGCCAATCATATGGTATCAAAAGGAAGTATGTTATAGCAGGTGATTTTTGTCTTTGGAGATTGTAGCCCCATGTAGGAAGTGCATGGAAATTATAATTTCTTCTAGTTTACGCTACAACAGTACAACAAAATCGCTCGGAATGACATGCTTGGCTCCATCTTCTCAACCTTATGGCTCCCTCACATCGCCGTCAGACTTCGCGTGCCCAACCTGTGCTAAATGTCAACTTTCGAGATCCCTTGTTGTACCTCATTTCTATTTTAGTCCCCGTATGTAAGACTCAAGGGACTTTCTTTGAATTCCCCTGAAAACGCCAGGGTGAACATCATAATGGCACAGTAGGCATGGGCAACAAGGCGAGTAAATTACTCGCCTATTTTTTGCTACTCGTTTTGGGTGAGTAACAAAGTCTGAAATGTCAAACTATATGTGCTGCTTGTTGTGTAGGCTGTAGTGGGGTAGCCTATATAGGGTACAACACAACTTAGGGTTTCCTACTTGTACCCATCCTGCTGCTAGTTTATTCATTCCTGTTCATTATTCTAACATGGTTTCAGAGCAGGTCCTAGCCTAGGACCGATTTCTTAGGGCCCACCGAGTAGCACTACCCCACCCGTCGCGCCACTGTGATGGCGTTGCCCTGACCTGTCCTGCCCTGCCCTGCCCTGCGCCGCCTGCTGCAGCGCGCACTTTTTTTTTGCCTGCACGCCACCTGCTGCAGCGTGTCCTGCTAAGTTGCGCGCCACCTGCAGTAGCGCGCCCTGCCTTGCCCGCGCGTCGTGTCGCTGCGTCGCCATGCCTGCGCGTCGCGCCGCACGCCCTGCCCTGCCCACGCGCCGCGCTGTCGCGCGCCCTGCCATGCCCGCGCGTCGCGTCGCTGCGTCGCCCTGCCCGCGCGTCGCACTCCGCGCTCTGCCCTGCCAACGCGCCACCGTCGCGCGCCCTACCTTGCCTGCGCGCCGCGCCGCCGCGCGCCCTGCCCTGCCTGCGCGCCGCGCCGCCGGGCGGCCTGCCCTGCTTGCGCGCCGCGCCGCCGGGTGCCTTGTCCTACCGCGCGCCTCTGCCCTGCCCGCGCGCCGCATCGCCTCGCGCCTCTGCCCTGCCCGCGCGCCTCTGCCCTGCCGTGCGCGCCTCTGCCCTTCCGTGCACGCCTTGCCCTGTTGGCACGCCCTGCCCTGCCGTGCGCCCTACCCTACTATGTGCGCCACGCGCCGCTCTCTGCTGCACTACTGCTTGCGCGCTCCCCTGCCTAGCTCGCTATGGCCACTCTCAATGTTCTCACTTTCGATTCGGAGGGCCGCCCGATAGAGTTCGCTGCATGGCTAGACGATTTACAGCTGTTCCTGCTGACAGACTCTAAGAGCAGTACCTCGCTGTTTGACCTCACTTCTGGCGCCTCGCCCGCCCCTGACGCCATAGCTGTCAGTGCGACCCGCTCACAGTGGCTTACCCGTGACGCTGCTGCTCCCCTAGCCGTTCACAACCAACTGCCGTTAGCCGAACGCGCCCACTTTGGCCAGCATAAGACAGCGAAAGCACTGTACGACGCTCTAGTCGCTCGTTACTCCTCCCTGGCCACTACTGCTCTAGGCCGCCTTCTCCTGCCCTCCTTGTTCCCAGACCTGTCCGCCTTTGCCACAGTAGTCGACCTAGTCACTCACCTCCGCACTAGTGACACTCGCTACCGTGCTGCACTCCCCGCCAAGTTTCTCACCAAGAACCCCCCCCCCCCCCCCCCCCCCCCCCATGTACATTACGCTCTACTTCATAGTCACCCGCCTCCTTGACTCTCTGACTGCAGTCAGGGACCTCCTCCTAGCACTTGACCTGACCGACCTCATTGTCGACCTACTCGAGAAGCACCTCCTAGCAGCTGAGACTAGCATAGTCGCTGTAGGCGCTTCTCATGGCACTCCTCGCACCCCCTTCTTTGAGGGGTGTTCGCCCTCCCCCCTTCTCCCCTCAGTCGCCTCTGCTACAGCTGTTGACTACCTTTGTGCTGAGGAGGTAGGAGCTGCGTCTGCCCCTAGTGGGAGGCGCCGCAGCGGCAGGGGCAGGGGCGGCAGGGGAGGCAGGGGAGGTGGGGGTGGCAGAGGTGGAGGCGGTGGTGGGGGCGGTGGAGGCGGTGGTGGGGGCGGCGGTGGAGGAGGTAGTGGTGGTGGGGGCGGCGGGGCAGGTGGCGCCGGTGGTGGCGGCAATGGAAGTGGTGGCGGCAGTGGTAGTGGTGGTGGCAGCGGTGGTGGCGGCGGTAGTGGCGGCAAAGGGAGTGGAGGCGGCGGCAGTGGGGGCAGCAGGGGTGGCACCAGCCAGAGGGGAGGCCTTGGAGGTGGCCACCGGCAGCAGCACCGTCAGCCCGTTTTGTCTCAGGAGCTCAGTGAGTGGTTTGCTCAGCGTGGGGCGGCTGGGGGTAGTGGTCCCTGCCCGTATGTCATTCGCACAGGTGACCGCACTAGTCAGACATGTGGGAGGTCTCACACTCAGCACCGCTGCTTCTACCGTCTTACCGACGCCTTCCGCGCAGAGTTCCCCGAGTACGCCTTCTTGCGCTGGTAGTGAGTCAGCTGCCCTAGGTGCTGGTGAGTCTGCTCTCTCTGGTACTGCGTCTGCTGCGGCCCTGCACACCTTCATGTCAAAGTTATGTTTAATATATCCTGCTTGCTGTAGTTACTATAGTGTAGTTATTTGATTGTTTTCTTGGTGGTGCTTTTGTTTGCTATATGTACCTTTGGTCCTATAGTGAACCCAACCATTCTCGACATTTCTCCTTGGCACAAACTACTCTTTACCCGCTTGGCCTAGGCTACTAAGCCTAGGCCCTTAGTTAAACCCGTTCCTAGCTAAGATCGTATCGTAACATGGTATTGAGCTAGGTCGTTCCCGACCTAATTTTTAAAGGGCCCACCGTTAGTTATCGTGATGGCGTGTCCCGTCCTTCCCCGTCGCTCGCTCGTAGCAAAATCCGTCACGGTAGTCGTGACAGACGCGACGGTCGTGGCGGGAGTAACGACGTTCGTCAACCCGCTGTTCCGCGCCGCTGCTCTTGCCCCCCGTCGGCCCCTCGAACCGCCGCTGCCTTCCCCGTCGCCCTTCCCCGTCACGCTGCCTCGACGCGGCTCACTGTCGCGGAAATGTCGACGGTCGCAGTGGGGGGGGGAGAGGAGAGGGGAAAAGGGTGGCGACAGTCACTTGAGCACCACAGCCAGCCCGCATTCCATCCCGTCCCGTTCCGTCCCCGCCTGCCCTCCCGTCGACTTCGCAGCTGCTGTGAAGGGAGTGGCGGGAATGGCGGGCGTGGCGGGAGTGGCGGGAATGGCGGGCGTGGCGGGAGTGGCGGGAGAAGCTGCTGCTCCACCACTGCATGCCACAGATCGTCCACGACCCCCAAGCCCGCCAGTAAACGAACCAGCAGACCCGCGCCAGCATTAGGAACCAACACCAGGCACGAGCACCAGCGCCAGGAACCAGTACCAGCACCAGCACCAGGAACTAGCACCAGCACCAGCTGCCAGCACCAGGAACCAGCACCAGCGCCAGCCGCCAGCACCAGGAACCAGCACCAGCGCCAGCCGCCAGTACCAGGAACCAGCACCAGCGCCAGCCGCCAGCACCAGAAACCAGCTCCAGTGCCAGCCGCCAGCACCACGAACCAGCACCAGTGCCAGCCACCAGCACCAGGAACCAGCACCAGCTCCAGGGCCAGCCGCCAGCACCAGCACCAGCTCCAGGGCCAGCCACCAGCACCAGCACCAGCTCCAGGGCCAGCCGCCAGCACCAGCACCAGCTCCAGGGCCAGCCGCCAAGACCAGCACCAGCTCCAGGGCCAGCCGCCAGCACCAGCACCAGCTCCAGGACCAGCCGCCAGCACCAACACCAGCTCCAGGGCCAGCCGCCAGCACCAGCACCAGCTCCAGGGTCAGCCGCCAGCACCAGCACCAGCTCCAGGGCCAGCCGCCAGCACCAGCAACAACTCCAGGGCCAGCCGCCAGCACCAGCACCAGCTCCAGGGCTAGCCGCCAGCACCAGCACCAGCTCCAGGGCCAGCCGCCAGCACCAGCACCAGCTCCAGGGTCAGCCGCCAGCATTAGCACCAGCTCCAGGGCCAGCCGCCAGCACCAGCAACAACTCCAGGGCCAGCCGCCAGCACCAGCACCAGCTCCAGGGCCAGCCGCCAGCACCAGCACCAGCTCCAGGGCCAGCCGCCAGCACCAGCACCAGCTCTAGGGCCAGTCGCCAGCACCAGCACCAGCTCCAGGGCCAGCCGCCAGCACCAGCACCAGCTCCGGGGCCAGCCGCCAGCACCAGCACCAGCTCCAGGGCCACCTCGCCAGCAGAGAACCCCGCCAGCAGAGAACCCCGCCAGCAGAGCACCCCGCCAGCAGAGAACCCCGCCAGCAGAGAAGCCCGCCAGCAGAGATCCCCGCCAGCAGAGATCCCCGCCAGCAGAGAACCCCGCTAGCAGAGAACCCCGCCAGCAGAGAACCCCGCCAGCAGAGAACCCCGCAAGCAGAGAACCCCGCCAGCAGAGAACCCCGCCAGCAGAGAACCCCGCCAGCAGAGCACCCCGCCAGCAGAGCACCAGCCTCTGCCCTGCCTCTCCCCTCCCGCGGCAGCTACTGTGGGGGGTAGGTGGCAGGGACGGGGGGGTGGGAGGGCTGGCTGCCATGTGAAGGACAGGGCAAAGACAACTGTGAGTGGGGCAGGGGTATGGAGGAAGGAAGGGAGGGAGGGGGTGCGGTTCCAGGGGGCGGCTGAAATGGGGGGTGAGGTTGAAGGAGGGTGGTTGATTGGGGGTGGGGATGTGGGGGCTAG